CAAAATGAAACGAACATATAAAAATGGTGCGATTTTATTGGTCGATGTAAATCAAGTGATCGGTGAAAGCTATCCAGCGTTTTGATTGGTTGTTCGTTTTACGGGGGAGGCTTCAGCTGAGGGGGGGGTGATGTTAACCGAAGAATTAACTTTGAACGGCCTGATGAAGATACGATGGTAAATGTTTTCTAGAATTTATTTAAGTAGAACAAAAAAATAACTAATTCTCTATTTTCTAATACGCTGTATATATTCTACATTTGACTCAAAAAATTACATCAATTATATCATTTATCAATCATACGATATTTAACTACTACTGATTTTGCTGATTTTGACATACTTTTCATTAATTACCCTCTGATTAATTAATTATCCGTGATTTACCTAATCACTTGGGGTCATGTGATGACTTTTCGAGTTTTATGTTCTGGGTCGATTACCCGGTTTACTTGACCCCTTTCGGAGCACTAGATAGCACCATTGCTTTTGCTTAAGGCCGTTCGAAGTTGATTTTTCGGTTAACATCACCCCCTCTCGGTTGAAGTCTCCCCCGGAAAACGAACAACCAATCAAAACGCTGGATAGTCCTCACCAACAACATGATTCATATGACCAATGAAATTGCCCCATTTTTGTTTATTTTATATGTTCGGTTCATTTTACCCCCCTCTCGCGAGAGCTCTAAAAGTGATGTTAACCGAAAAATCAACTTCGAACGGCCTTATCGATACATATTCATAAACCAGTTGGCATTAATATAAAAAGTGCCACATATAATTAAGGTCTCAGTTGTTAAGTCAACCTTATTAGTTAACAATAACCGACTATATATTTCAAATTATTAATCTAAAAAAAAACTTGTTTTAACACGTGTAAGGGTGGGACAATATTTATAGTTCCACCCACTTTTTTTACTACATTAATGTGCTGTAACAGAAGTTGCAAGATATTATCTAAAGCGAATGCCTCCAAGAAATCATGGTAAATCAAGTGGAAAACCTAAATGTCCAGGATGTGGTCGTCATTTTGCAGATTTACGAGAATATGTCTTGAGGATGCATGGAACTACAATATCAGAGTTACATCGACGAATACAATTACAACGAAGTATTACAATACAAAGACCCAATGAAAACCCTAATTCGCGTCAAGAAACACCTAATCCTCATACCGATGAAAATCACGAACATGTTTCAGCATTAACTAGGGAAGAAAATCATACTGATTCCTTGCATCAAGAATCTCCTAATTCGCGTCAAGAAACACCCAATCCTCGTAGCGATGGAAATATCGAACATGTTTCAGCATTAACGAAGGAAGAAGGTAGTCCTACTGATTATACTGATTCTCTGGATCAAGAATTCCCTAATTCACTTCAAGAAACACCTACTCCAAATATTATTTTTAACCATTCAACATTTAATAACTGCACTTTTACCTATTATTATTATTAATATCACGTTAATGTTAGTTCAGATTGTTGGTATAATTTAATGAATTTAATATTTTTGATCATCTGTTAGATGAAGTTTATATGTAATATGTATTAGTCTATTGACGCAGTTTTCCGCATTAGAAATACCATTACTGTTGTTGTCGTTGAAAATGATGGTGGTGTTGAGCATTTACAGTGAATATTAGTCAACAATAAGGTTACATGCTGCGAGATTTTTTAGATCTGAAATATTATAGGTTTTTACGAACTTTAAGTAAACAAAAGAAAAATAAATCGAAAGTGTGTAGACTTGATAACTGCATGTAAAAAAAACTTTTCAGGTTTCAGTTTTACGTAATATCTGATGCTGACTAATGTATATGAGGTGGCTTCACACGCAAAAAACTATTTTGACAATGTTGCATAAAGCTTTACTTTGTACACAAATTCAAAAAGAATTAAGGGTGAATCGCTCGGTAACTTGCTCTCTGACTCACACGAATATGAATATAAATATGAATATTAATGAAAAAAAGAGGGAAGGAAAAGTAGGGAAGAAACACAGTCGCGGTATGTCATGCACGTACTTGCCGGCTACGAAAATACTTTTAAAAATATATTAGGATAGTAATAGCTACAGAAAATAGAAGTAACAAATTCTATTTTTAATACTCAGAAAATGCAAAATAAGTATCAACAAATTAAAAATAAATAATTTTTAAACTCAGATTTGCTGTACCTATTTTCAATTATTCTTTTGAATTCTTTATTCAATTATTCATAAAACTGAATCGCTAATAAAAGTTCAATTTTTGACACGTTCGTTAATAAATAAAAATTTTGAATTCTTTATTCAATTATTCGTAAAACTGAATCGCTGATAAAAGTTCAATTTTTGACACGTTCGTTAATAAATAAAAATTTTGAATTCTTTATTCAATTATTCGTAAAACTGAATTGCTGATAAAAGTTCAATTTTTGACACGTTCTATAACTTGTTTATGTGAGGTTCGAAACTTTATGTAGAAAAAGTATTGATTTTATTAGTTGCTTCAATTTTTTTACATTTTACAGTAATATGAATTAAGCAAAATTTTGTATTAATATAAACGAGGCAATTGAAAATATCATTGATGAACCATCGGATTTAAAAGATGGTGATAAAACAAAAAAGAGAGGAAAAGAGTGAGAAAAGGTATTAAGAAGCAAAAGTCAGACTAATGAAGATGTCGATGTTAATGTTAAGGAGTAAAGAGTAAAAAACGGCTATTTAAAGATATTAATGTTGAGGAAGATGGTTTAGAGGGCTTGAACGTAGAATTCGAGTATATGAGCATAAATTTATGAAAAGTAAAACGTAAAATTAGCATTGCTTATGAATAATGATTTTTTTTCTTTTAAATTATACAGTTCGATACGAATGAGTTTTTGATAATATGAACCGATTTTTAAACTGCTCCAAATTTGGCACCAATATAAAACTACTCTAATTTTAAATTTTATTTACGTAAATTACCGTTATATGACTTTTTATAAACCTTTAATTTTAAAGTAATATAGCATGATTTTCATAAAATTTACCTAAATTGATACAAAATATCCGAATACGTGGTACTGTAAACCAGTTTAAAAAGTATTTTTTTATTAATATACAATCTATCATATTGATAACCGGTTAATATTTGTTTAAAGACAAATCACAAATAATGATACATAAATCATATATAAAGTAACAAGTAACAAGTGGTTCGGACTGATAAAAACATGCCTCGCAAAAATCATTATAGGAAAACTCAAAATAAATTTAACATGATGCTTCGTTCAGATAAAAAAAATATTAATGAAATAAAACATACAGTTAAAAAATTAATTAAAGAATGTAGAGCTTTCTTATTACGCCAATTGTATAACAAGAAAATCTCCCCAAATAATTATGAATTGGAAAACACTAAGCTTAATGAATTGGAGACTCAAGTTGAATCACTAATTTCCAAAGCTACACAATTAGAAAATGGTAAAATTTTGTATCAAACTGAAAACAATGAACTTAAAGAAGAATTACAACGCATTGCTAACAGATATGAAGATAACAAAACGAAGCTAGAAAGATATTATAATGTTATTCAAAAAACTTATTCTGTATTACAGGAAGTGTTTGTTTCGATGAATTAGGTAAAATTAAGACTTGTGCAATTCAAAATTTATATTATAACTTTCCTGATCCAAATTCATTACTAGATATTAGGCAATTAGCAGATCTCTGTAAAGAAATTAAAGAAATTTGTGAAGGACGTGAAGATGTTGTAAGTGGTCCGAATATTCCAAGTGCATACACACACCCAAATAATATAGGTAAAATTATTTAAGTATCTAAGTGAATTTTAATACTTTTATAAATATCTGAATTCTTTAATTTAATAGTATACAATTCGTTTGAAGATGCTTTAAATGCTTCTGAGCCAAAAATAGTTGAAATAGTTGAAGAAAATGGAGAAGATAGAGAACAAACGTTTCCATCTTTAGCTCGTGCACCCCATTTTTATGAGAATCCCAAAGATGTAAACGATCAAGAATTTGATATTTCTAAATTTTCCTTTTAAATGTTTGTTAATTGCCGTCATTGTGTGAAATTATCATCTCTTTTTGATGAATATAAAATTTTGTAATTTTTGCCAACATTGAATAAAATAAAGTTATATATATATAATGAATTATTTTTTTTATACTATTTCTATGTAAAAATGAGTTTGGACTAAACAACATAAAGGCAAATATACTAGAATCAAACTAAACATAAGAAAAAGCATTTGGTTAAATGTATTCGAGATTCGACCCGCATATGTGATTAATCGAATTCATCCATGATGATTTAGACAATAACTTATTTTTTATTTGCGCTTAAGAAAAAAATATGGAAGTAGATTTGAAAATGAAATATGTTTTAGATAAAATCCAAATTCAAGATTTTACAAATAAAAGTATGCATCTAACTATCTTTATAAACAGTAGTTGTTATCTGGCGTACTTTGATCCAATGTGTTAAGTAAAAACTGGGGTTACTAGTAAACATATTAATATTCTTTCTTGAACTTTAGCCTTGAAAGCATGAATACTCTTTGAATAAAACCGTGATCTATTGCTATAAATAACTGGATTCAATTAACACGTTTTTTTTGTGAGTCTGACCATATGATTTTTTAATTATTAATTGTGGCGGCTTATGCTGAGACTTGGGGTCCTCATTTAAACCTCTAATAGCTACTAAAATCCACATATGGGCCGTCAATTAAAACGTGCCTTAGTAAGATCAAAAAATTGTTACAAGTGATAAAAAGTTGAGTCATGCCTAATTGTAACTTGAGGTGTCATTGTCTTTTATTATTAATAATTAATAAAAGGTGATGACACCCCATGTTACAATTAGGCATGACTCAACTTTTTATCACTTCGTGTAACAATTTTTTGATCTTACCTAAGGCAAAAATTATGATGGTAATTTCAGTAATACAATTTGGTATACTACTGAAATTATGCAAAACACCGATTATAATTTTTTAGAGTTCAAATTTTCACTTCCAGGTTTTCTCTCTCACACACTCAATATACTTTTTTAATATAAATACTAACCAAAATCAAAGTTTGATTTTTGTTGGATGACATTTGAAAAATATGCGTTATTTTTTCACTTTATACAAAGATCTTTTAATGAATTTATTTCATTTTATACTTTCATTGGTAGTCTCAAATTAATAAAAAAATTAAATTACATATACGAATAACAAATAAAATTATTTAATATTTAAGGTTTTGATATAACAAAAACTCTCATCAGGTATCAATTACATATCATTATATGAGAGTTAATAGAACAATCCAAATTAAAGCGAACCCATCAGACCATAAACATCACGACTAATTTCCATTGTGAACTTTTAAAAGAAATAAAATATTAGTAAATATTTGAAGAAAAATAAATCAAATTATTTAAAGCATAGTTATACTTCCATCTACTTTTTTTCATAATTGTCGAAAAATTTTTTTATACTTCTGGAAAATTAAAATAAAAAGAAAAAGAACGGCCCATTGAGCACACGTTCTTGACTGGCCTATAGAGCACACAGTCATAAAGTCTAAAGAAACAATTAATCCAGCTTTATGAAATAAAATACATAAATTACACAAAAAATTTTTACTTCTCGAATTTAGAAATCAATTTAATTTCTTAATTTGATTTTATCATTAGAAACGATAGCAATCCATTCAACATCAAGCTCACTCCACATACATGAAACGGCCAAAACGGCCATTCTATATTTATGTTTTTCATCGAAAAAAAAGAAAAAACATGTTAGTAACCACTTAGGATTATCATTTAACAATAAATCCAATTAAAATTACTTTCCTTTCGCTCAATAGATTTTACTAGGATTTCATAATGTGCCACTTTATGCCGACTGTTATTTCTCAAAGTAGCTATGGAAACTTATGACTATATATATTATTATACCATTAGCTCCTTTTGTTGCTCAATCCAGTTTTATGAAATACTTCAAATAAAATTTTACTTCAAGTAGTCGAAACTTTTAGTAAAATGGAAGTTCACCAAGCGTGATAAATAAAAGAATGTTATGTTTATATTATTCTTCTTGATATGCTGCTGTTAAAGATTCTATGTGAGAGAGGTAAATGAGTATATGACGAATAATAAAATTTAACACAACAGTTAACCTTCTTGAATGATCTTGAGTATTGTAACATTTTAGTAGACATATTCCGGATAATTTATAGTAAAAAATAATTTAACTTCGCTTTGAATAAGTTTGCGTCGGTTCAAAAACCTGTCCTGGACC